GGTGTCCTCGAAGTATAACAAGGTGAAACGTGACTAAACTTTCAAGCTTCAAGCCAAGAACGCAAAACACATTTTTTTAAACAACTATTTCCGTTCTTTTTCAATTAAAGTTCAAAGTAAATTATTAAGTAAACTCTTATACATTCAATAATTAAACAAGTTATATTTATGAGAGCAAAAGAAGAAAAACAACTTTGTGATTAAAAATTTTTTATTCATAAGATAACAGTGTTATAGTTAAAAAAAACGCGACAAACTTGCAGACGACCAGTAGTTTTTATCATCAAGAACCATTGTGTAGCATTTATTTTATTACATAATTAAATTTTTAATAATGATCATAAAATGAACATTATATATAAATGGTATTAAAAAGAATAAAATTTCTTGAAGTTGTAATTAAAATAAAATAAAAATTTAACAAGATTTTTATACTCAAAAAAATATTATCTTTGATTAATTTTTGAAAGCAATTTATACTTTTACACCAACGGCGGATCCCATAGGGAGGTTGATGGGCAATCATCCCCCTACATCCCCTCTACCTTAAATATTTTATAAAGCATTGTTTTGTAAAACTAAGCAAAACATGTTGTTTGAGTTAAACCTAACCCTAATCCTAACCATGACTTCCTAGATCGTCTAGATCTATCAAAAAAAAACCCTAAAATTTACCAATTCTGACTAAATGGTTTGGATCACCCCCACGTTTTGCACGTGTTAATAATAATTATTGTGTAATAATTATTGTGTTAATAATAATAATAATAATAATAATTATTGTGTTAATAATAATTATTGTGCACGTGTAAATAATAATTATTGCTAAAGTTTTATTCCAGAATATGAGGAGCAGGACATGATGCACGATTTATGTAATTTTAAATTGTTTCTGTTTAGTTTTGCATAAAGGTTCAATCAAAGACTTATAGTATAGTTGGAGAAGGAACGAAGTATAAATAAACTTTTCAAGGAATAGTCTTTATTTTCAAATAAATACCGCGTAGTTATCATAATTTAAAGTTACCAAATCACGTTCCACTTTTAGAAAAATAATCTAATGTTATTGTTTCAAAACGTCATAAGCAGTCAAAGTATTGAAAATAAAATGCAATACTTTGGAGGTGAAAGTTTGTAAATAATATTTAGAGTTAGTTAATTGTTTTTTTGTTATATTATGTTTTTTGAAACGACTAATAATAAACTTCTAGATGAGAATTGAGTTAATAAATTTCTTAATAGAAACTGGTAGCATTTTTGCCAGGTTTACAAAAAGGTACTTTATAGCCCTACATTTAGAATATAGCAATTTGCTTTTAAATCCGGCAAAAAATATTCCAACACAAAATAAAATCCCGGAGAGATATAATAAGTTCCTAAAAAAACGTTATTAAGAACGTAAATAAACTATAGAAAAATGGGGAAGCAAAAGATAAGGTTCAAACAAATAGTAAAGATTTTCGAAAATTTTGTTATTTATCCCTAGTATCCCTAGTATTCAAAACACGATTACTTTACGTAGATTGGGATTTTTGTTGCCATTACTTCTTGATAGTTTAAACAGTTGTTATAAATTTCAGTCAAAATCAATCAACTTTTAAGAGAGTAATCCATTTCGATAACACCTTTCTAAGGTTATAAATTACATTTCAAAACTCTTCTTTTTTAACCCTAATGCAATATTTTGACACAAAAGACTATACCACAATTTTAAACGATTGTCGGCTTAGTTTTCCTTCCAGCTAATCTATTATACCTGCTTGGTTCAATTAAGGTGCCTGTTGTACGCAAAGTATATTTAAAGTTGACTTTTATTTCATAGAGATCATGAAAAATTGAAGAACATTATCGAAATTTACTTTTGTACGCGGGACATAAAATTTTATATATGTTTTTATATATGTATAAATACTCATACTTTTGAAAATTGGTTTTTCATGTTTCCTTTTATTTTTAAAATTCATTATTTTTAAAACATTTTTCTGATTTCGATAAAGTGCTTCTAGTTTGTCTTTAGAAGTACTGGCGATATTTGTTTAATTTAAGTAATTTTATAAAACTGAAATATTTTTGTTTCAGACAATGTTTGTTGCGTAGGCCCCTTAATTAATATAGAATTATCAATTAAGGGGTCAACTTAATAGGCATTATCTAATAAAAAAAAATATTTTTCGATATTTTGTTGCCAATATAAACAATATGTTTATTCCAAGTAATATTTTTGTTGATGAGAACACCAAGAAATTTTGTCACTCTTTTTCAACTAAATTCATTGTTTTCAAAAACTAGTTTTAGTTTGAAATAGAAATAGGAGGGTTTTTTTCTTTTATTTAGAACTATTAGAGAGTTTGTTAGCTTTCAATCATTTTGAAATATTTTATAACTTCATTTGAACAAAAAGCGGAGGTATATTTTTTGTTGAGATAAAAAAAGTTACAGCGAACATAATTGTTGATGTATATAACACTCTCAATTAGTTCAAAAATCTTAGAAAAATGGAAAGTAATGATCAGAGGCATCCCGAGGAGGCGTATGGGCGTGTCTAGTCCCCTGACGAAATTTATTAGTCAGCAAATACATATACACTGCCGTGTATATGTATTTGCCAACTATAGATCCATTTTTGGCATAATTTTAACTATAGATCCATATAACTTCGCATGCTGTCAACTATAGATCCAGTTTTGTCGACTCTACACCTTTTCAAGATGTAATTGAGAAAACAAAAATTGTAATTAAGAATCGTAAGATGTAATTGAGAAAACAAAAGTTGTAATTAAGAAACGTAAGATGTAATTGAGAAAACGTAAGTTGTAATTAAGAAACATAAGATGTAATTTAGAAAACGAAAATTGTAATTAAGAATCGTAACATGTAATTGAGAAAATGTAAGTTGTAATTAAGAAATAGAAAGATGTAATTGAGAACACGAAAATTTTAATTTAGATATCGCTTTAAAGGAGTAAGTGTAAAATGGCGCTTAAAAAGAATGGCGCGTAAAAAAATGGAGCGTATAAAATGACGCACTTAAAAATGACGCAAGATTTGTAGCGTAAATTTAATTTTTTAGGGAAAAATTTAGGGAAAACGTTAGGGAAAAATTTAGGGAAAAATTTATAATTTTTGGGCAAATGAATTTAACATAATAAACACTAAAAACATTTTAGGGAAAAATTTATAATTCAATTAAAAATTATAATTAAAAATTACATAATTAAAAATCACTTCATTGATCATTTAAGCACCAACTTGTACGTCTTCCATATTTAAAATAGTTGCATAGTGCGTGGTTGTGTGTTGTACCGCACGTGCACAATCTCCTCCCATTATAGTATTTTTCGCCTCAATTACAATTCGTTCTAAGTACTGCATGCGCTGTTCTGCAATCCCGTCACCTAATACAGGTGGAATGCGAATTGCATTTTTAACGTTACTTTTAATTTTGGACCAGATCGTTTCCACCGGGTTCAACATTAGACTGTAAGGTCCCAAACGTAACAACTGAGCTGGTGAATTATCAAACACCCTTTGCAAACGAGCGTGACAAGGAGCATTATCTGTTACGACGACCAAATCCTCCAAACGATTCCCGGATGTAACCCACTGGTGAAACATAGCCAACATCCACTCATTACAGGAATCTGCTTTAAATGATCCCCTGCGAGTTTCTATCATGACGACATTTGTAGTTGAAATAGCTGCGATCAAGTGTATGTTTAAACCTTTTGAAGCAGGTACTTTCATAATTGCTCTTTTTCCTTGTCTCGCGCGTCCTTGCGTTTTTCTACAAAAAAGGTTAAAATTTGTTTCATCCAACCAAACTATCTGACGACCATTTGTGATATGTTCGTTGATGTTTCTAACATATTCAGCTCTTTTTTGTTTGTTTTCATAACTGTTCATTGTAGAAGGCTCCTTGTGCACTTTTTTTAATCAAGAACAATCTGCCTTCGAGGTAATTTGCTATTGTTGTTGTGCTAACGTTTATGTTAAATTGTCTTAATATCTTTGTTTTGATGGCCACCAATGTTAATTGACAATCATTTTCAATTCATGTTAATGTTTCTTCGATTTGATCTTCGGTCAACTTTTTTGGTTTAAAACCTTTTTTTCCGATGAAATTTGAATTTCCGCTGCGAACCCAATTGTATGCTGTCTTATATTTGATACCTAGCGTTTGCGCGAGATTCACCCAATCTTCAAATCGCTCCGCACATTCAACAACTCTTCTCCTGTCATTTGGAGAAGATAAAACGTAACGTTTCCTTTCAACTTGTTCAGTTGTGTGTATTTCATGCCGACAAATCGGACAACTTGAATCTGGTTGTTCTAGAATTGGACGTAAACAAATTTGGTGACATAAATGTTGACACGGATTTAGCTTAATCACAGACTTTCGGGTCATAGTGTATTGGCATATAACACAACGATCTTTCAATTCCATTATTATTACTTGTGCATACAAAAGCAAAATTTAAGATTATAACTTAAATTCATGTCCAAAAAGACCTTTTGTAACAACCTACAAACTTAGACTGTGAATTTGCTATTTTAATTTATGTGTTCTCAATTACAAGTTACGATTTCTCAAGTACATATTATAATTTCTCAATTATATCTTACGTTTTCTCAATTACATGTTGTGTTTCTTAATTACATGTTACGACTTCTTATTTACATGTTGTGTTTCTTAATTACATATAACGTTTTCTCAATTACATGTTGTGTTTCTTAAATACATATTACGACTTCTTAATTACAACTTTCATGTTCTCATTTACATCTTGAAAAGGTGTAGTACTGGAGTTGGTGGTCGGCAAATGTTAGCCAACGAGGACCTATTTTTTATTTAGATCTTAGTCGGCAAAAAAAACTTTCTAGGTCATAGTCGGGAAAAATCAAGTATGTCTTGGGAACGGCCCTGGTAATGATATTGCTGTAAACAATATCATTACCAGCGTCGACTGTAATCTGACTGTTATTACTCGGAAAGCGACTATTTTTAAGTCACTTAAAAGTAACTTAAAAATAGTCGTATTCCGCGCCAATTCAATATTTTGAGATTCTTAAGTGAACTAAATAAACATACAGCAGGTCCAATGATGCCGTCTTATTAACAGCCTAATAGGTTCTAATTCTAACTGATCTAACTTGTGTTTTAATTTTAAAATGTTGGCCTCAAAATGTTTATTGAACAGATCTTTCAGTTATTTTAATCAAAGATGTTTATGGAAGAAATCAAGTTGTTGTAATAAAATTTTTGTTTGTCCAAACCGATGTATGACGGTACGCTCTGCAACTACTTTGTCAATCAGCAAGTTATGTTTATCTAATGCAAAAAAAAGTTGTAATTTTAATGTTTTTAAGCAATGTTCTTCAAATTTATGCTCGTCTTCTACCTCTTCTGATTTATATGAAATTGATGTTGATTTGTTAAACGAAGGTTTAAAAAATAATAACATATATATAGTTGATGTTAGAGAACGACAAGAAATTAAAGACTCTGGTGAATTGCCTAATGCTATTAACATACCATGTAAAATTATATTTTTTTGTAAAAGTTTTAATCATTAGTGTTGAATAATCTTGCATATGAAGATACTTAAAGTAATAATTAATACAAAACACATAAATTAATTAATTTTGTGTTTATAATTAATAAAATTTCAATTTATAAAATTGATAAAAAATTAATAAAACTGCATAAATTATATAATTTTGTATTATTTAAAAACACAAGTTTATGTAATTTTTATAGTTTTTATAGTGTTAATTGTTACTTTGAGTATCTTCATATGTATGTATGTATGTATGTATGTATGTATGTATGTATGTATGTATGTATGTATGTATGTATGTATGTATGTATGTATGTATGTATGTATGTATGTATTTATGTATGTATGTATATATGTATGTATGTATATGTGTGTGCAGGCCTTGGCTGTGCATGTAAATGAGCGCGAGAGTGGAGAAAAGCTCTCATGGCGAACCATACAAGCTGTTCCTCTAAACTGCTTTTTACAAGAGCTTTTAGTTTTTGCACAAGCTATTTGTTTATATATATAAAAATTGCTTATTAAATACAAAATTTGGTTTTATACTTGTTACTAGTCACGTTAATGTTACAGTAATATACACTTAACAAGCGCCATTTGTTGCGTCATGAAAAAATTCTTTAGAAGTAAATTTTTTTTTGACTTTGTAAAAACTGTGCCTATTTATTATCCAGCGAATTAAGTTTTTTTTGACTTTGCATATTTCATTTTAGTTACAATGGTAATTAAACTTTTGGGAGAAAAAAAAAAACTTTTGCGAGAGCTGTAAATTGCTCCCATAAACCGTTTTAGGGAGCAATTTACAGCTCTCGCAAAAGTTTCCCGCCGAGCCTGTGTGTGTATGTATGTATGTATGTATGTATGTATGTATGTATGTATGTATGTATGTATATATATATATATATATATATATATACACATATATATAATAATATATAATAATATATATAATAATATATAAAATATATATATATATATATACATATAATATATATATATATATATATATATATATATATATATATATATATATATATATATATATATATATATATATATATATATATATATATATATATATATATATATAATGATAATAATAATATGTGTGTAAGAGAACGTAAGAGGTGAGAAAGAGAGAGAGAGAGAGTTTATTGCTCTATTCCTAAAGTGTTTTTTTTTGTTTTTTTTTTTAACATCTTCACTTCTAACAAGGCTTCAAGCAACCACTAATTAGTGTTGGAAGTTACTGGAAGAGAAAAGATGAAGATTGTAGAGCAAGATAACGATTGACAAACGACTTAAAATATTGGAAATTATATGAATCAGGAAAGCAAGATGAAGGATGCGAATTCCAAAGAACTGATGTTCGAGGAAAAAAACTAGACGAATAAGAGTTTTTGGAGCACTTAGGAACAGTAACAGAAAAAGGATGAGACTTAATTGAATGACAAGTAATACGAGAATGAATTTTTGTAGATGGCACAAGAGACGCTAGCTATTTAGAGCAGTGCCCATTATAGTATTTGTAGGAAAGAGAAAGAGAAGCAACATTACGACAATGTGACAAAGGTTGAAGGTTGGCTGCAAGAGTAGGTCCAACTATGTTTACAATGCGTTTTTGCACCTTGTCTAAAAAAGAAAGGGCATCATTAGAAGATCCACCCCAGATATGGCAACAGTATTCCATACAAAGCCGGATTTGAGATTTATAGAGATAGAGAATAGAATCCAGAGTAAGAAAGTGACAAGCTCGATAAAGAGAAGCGACTTTTTTTTGCAACAGATTTGATATAAGGCTTCCAAGAAAGATCAGAAGTAAGAGTTAATCCTAGAAAATGAAGGGTAGATGACACATCGAGTACATTACTGTTCATAAATATAGGAAGGTCTAAATTATTGCGACAATGATTGGCTTAAAAAAATTGAATTTTATGTGAATGAAAGTTCACCAGCCACTGTGAGCCCCATGCTGTAGCAGAAGTAAGATCCTTTTCAAGCTCAAATGCCCCTTATTATTGATACTATTAAAGATTCTCCAGAAGTCACGAGAGCCTAATTTTTGTGATGAAATACGAGATTTCATGATCTAAGAATAGCGGGCTTTGGCGTTAGACAAAACCTTTTTACAATGGTTCCTAGCAGTAATAAACAGACGTCTGTTTTCTGGAGAATTGTTTTGCTGATAGATATGGAATTAATGATTTCGATTAGCAATTACAGCAGCACAATGTGAGGAAAACCATGGATAAGAGTGAGGCTTGACCTGGAATCGTCGAGAAGGAATAAAGGATTCCATGCAAGCCTGAATCCACGAAGTTATGTAAGAAGCACATTTGTCAACAGGAAGACGAAAGATTTCTACCCAGGGGCCATCACGAAGAAAATCACGGAAAGAATCCCAGTCAGCTTTAAGGTAGTTGTAAGATGTACAATGATAGGGGGATTCTGATGGTAAAGAAGAATGAGATAATAGTTTTAGAGAGACCAAACCATGATCAGAAGCACCTAAGGGTGAGTGTGGAGAAACCGAGCACTGACTAGGATCAGAAACAAGACATAAGTCGAGTAGAGAAGGTAAATGATTCGGGTTGTCTGGAAAGCGAGTTGGAAAGTTGACTATTTGAGTTAGGGATTGAGAAAGGCAAAAGTTGTGGGCCTTAATGCCTGCGGAGTCACTGACACTAGAGCCAAGCCATTCAGTGTGATGAACATTAAAGTCACCAACAACAACAATATTGGCTGATGGATAAAGAATGAGGGCTTGGTCAATATAATCAGAAATAACATCAAGAAGAGTGCAGTCTTGAGATGAAGGAGAGCAATATAGAACAAAGAGAAAGGTGATAGAGTGAAGTGGTGCTAAACAAAAGCACATAAAAGAGTAGTCTGTGGATTCAATTAAAGGAAGATAACCATCAACACTAAGATCACAAGATAAGACAGCTGAACTCAAATTAGTCTCACAAAGAGCAAGTAGGTCTGGTGAACTTCGCAAGAGATAAGACTCAACAGAAGAAAAGTTACTTCGAAGACCACGAATATTGGTGAATGATAGGTTTAGCGAACTTGGTGATGACTGTGGTTTTTTGTGTTTTATAGTTTTTGTTACTTTATTCATTTTTAAATTTGTTAAAGAACTTGACTCGAAACATAGATAGTACTCAGTACACTGTTTTATAGCCCAAGCAATTGCCTTATTTCCACTAATAAACTCTAAGCCGTAACAAAGGGCTCCAATGTGGCCTTGGCAATGCACACCAAAAGTACAAAAAGGGACACCATTCATGCGCAACATGGCACTGTTAGTAATCTGATATTTTTCAGCTGTTGATGGAATCAGCCTCTCTGAGAGCTACCACAGAGTTTGGGAAACCTGACTACCAGCCGGCCTCAGAACCATAAAACTGAGTTTTAGAGCTGTACCCTCATTTGGAGATAATAGAATGAGTTGCCTAGTCATAAAAACAGAGACACAAGCAAAACCTATGCATTAAGTCAAGAAGATCCAGCGTTCAACATCCTAAACTGGAAACAATGTATTAAAAATACATCTGCGCCAGCCTAATAGATGTTGAAGGGGTGCGAGGCTGGTCAACAGATAGAATCTGTTTACCCCTTAATTACCCCTTAAGTTCTTATTAATTTTAGAATTTAATGGATATAAAATAAAAATATATAAATTTGTGTGTTTTACAATAATCATTTAGTTTTCTTCCTCAAATAAAATAGGGGGATATAATTTATAACTGTAAGTAAACTTTACAAAAAAAATAATTAAAATTACAAATTTATCTGCATAGGGTTATTATTTGGTTGCAGTTTTATATTAAAAAAAGTAAAGCATATAAAAAAAAAGCTTATAAATACAATAGAAATCAGGTTGTTGAATATAAATGCAGCAATCTTTGTTGCAGTTGCAGGAAAAACAAACTTTTTTTAAGCAAAGAGACTCAAAGCTGCATATCAAAGTTACTTTAGCATCAAACTTGGTGACCAGGATAAAAGTTTAAACCAACCAATCATGTATCAGATTGTTATTTCTGCATGGCCAATAACAGGATAACAGGATTCATTACAAAAAACAAATAATTTATAGTGTATCCAGCTGTCTATCAGCTCTAAAGCCAGTCTTGCACGATGCAGAGAATCTTGTACCCATTACATCCACTAATGTACTTGAAAGTCACGTGATAACAATAGAGATGAGGCTCAGTGTGGTGTTGAAGAGCTTTTTTGATGAAAAATTAAACAAGTACAGACATATTTTAAACCCAGACCGATCTTAACAACCTTAAATGAGCCATTCAACTTTTTTTTTTTTTTTTTGTTATTCACCTCCAAAAGACCGAGAAGGCCACTACAGACAAGGAGGCTACTTAATAGTGGTTATAACCCTCTCTCAACTCTATAACTCCGAAACAAACCTTGACGAACAAGGCTGCTGCACCGGAGAAACAAGTTGTGCGCGGTACTACCAGGGACGTGGTGGGGATCAAAATGGAACCTCTCGCTTATGAAGCGAGTGCTTTACCACTACACCACTACCGCAACTAGACGTAACATTCCATCAAGACATCTTGATCATGGAAACCAGACATAAAGGTTGATTTGATTCTACCATGTTGGGAGATTTCTGTTGCTTTTTATGTAGGGAAACTGGTTGCAGTTACAAATGAAATTTCAAAGCCTTGAAGCACTTTCCTTTTCCTAGACCTCAATAAGAACATTTGAATGCCTAGTTGGCATTATGACTGTATTTCATGCTTTCTTGTGTTTTTAATGTACATGTTACAATAAAACTAATGGTTAAACAGTACTAAGTTGGTGTTATTTTAAAAATTTTTTTGAATCTTTATATCTTTTTTCTTTGATGTGATAAAAAGATTTCAGTTTTAGAATCAGCAAGTGAAAATTAATGAAGAACACATAATATTATCTCAGGGGGTTTAGACTTGTTGATCAGTGTAATTAAAAAAAAACTTCTTTTATAAACATTCTTTATACAAAAATAGTGCCTTCCTAACTCCAAACACTAAGTAGATCAATGGACTCAATCCTCCCTGTATATCATTTTTACACAGATGCACACACTTTATAACTTGGTAACCTTTTTTATTTAGTAGACGAGTTGGAAGCAGCCCTTCAATTAAATGAAAATCATTTTAAAGTAAGGTATGGCACTAGTCCACCGAATGATGATGGAAATAATTTGGTTTTCAGTTGTCGTTCAGGACGGAGAAGTTACCATGCACTGATGATTGCTCACAGCATGGGTTATTTAAAGTATGCTTTTTAAGCTTGTTAACTTTTTATGCGTTTTTATCATTATATTTATTATCTTTCATTTTTTTCATAGTTTTTTTTTACTTCCCTCTTTTTTTCAATGTTTTTTTTTTTTTTTTAATTTTGTACTTAACTTTAATTTTGTGCTGTAAAAATATAAAACCAGTACTTTTCAATCATAAATATTGAAAAAATTAAAGTTTTTTTTGATAATTTAAAAGAAAAACGACAAAAAAAATTCAGTTTATTTTCAAAGAAAGTGTTATGAAATATTTAATTTCCGAAAATACTTAAATAAAAGTACAATTTGTATCACAATTATAAAAGTAATAATTTTTTAAAAGTTGAAAAATATACTACTTCAATTCATATTAAGCTATAACTTTGAAATAATACTTACATCATATTAATATACAATATTGTTGAGATTTTTTTTTTTTTAATTTAAAATTCATGGTTTCATAGTTGTGTAACTTGGATGGATTTATTTATTTATAAAATAGTGCATCAGGGGCATGTACAAGAAATTTTTTGGGTAAGTCCAAAAAAAAAAAAAAACCATGTCCCCCTCTGCCTCCCTTTTTTTTTAGAGAGGGGGAGGGGGGCGGATTTTGACCGGACTGAGTGTATTTTATAAAAATGTTTTTATTCTTCAAATGACTTGTGACATTGATAAAATGGTCACTAAAGCTCAAAATATGATATTTGCAAACTAAAAAAACTATTTTTTGAAAATAATCAGTTGTCGTAATGTATAATATAAACATATTAAAGATTTTTAAAAACAATTTACAAGATTAATGCAAGATTTTGCTGTGTAAATTTTTTTATTTAACTTTATAATTAATATTTAATTATAAATAAACTTTATAAATACTTAAAGTCAAAAAACTTATTGCAATAACTGTACAATGCTAAATGTTTTTACAAAGATGTCAGCTATGAAAATAGCTGTTTACCAAAAAGCAGCTCAAACATTTGAAGTTATACTTTTATCGTATTTGAATTTTATTTAAAACACAACTCATAAGTATTTATAACAAACTTAAAAAGGTTTGTTGCTTGTAATGTTTCAGTATTATTAGATTAAAGTTCATTTTTGAAATTCAGGCAGTTAAGTGAAATTCATCTAAACTTCCCACAGATCAAATTTAAGTATAAAGCCTTTGGTTTGGAAATAATAAATAAACCTAATAAAGCCTTTGGTTAAACAAAAGACACTAAAACATATGATTTGGTCTTCCCAACTAGTATAACAAAACATTGAATTTCCGCAATTGTTTTTAGAAGAAACAATTAGAAAGAAGAAATTAAAACACAGGTACTTATAACACTTCAAAATTGTATCAATCAAACATTGTGTTAAACTGAGTAATCTAGATAAAACTCAGATAGTCTAGCAAGAAACAGCGATAACCAAGTTAAAATAATTTGAGATGCAATTTTTAGGCTTGTTTAAAGCATATTTGAAAGTGTTGATTAACAATATTTCTAACTATAGAGACAAAAACTTTTAATGCTTCAATAAGATTTAAACTATAAAAATTATCATCATTACTTGCTTGCAAAATTGTGTAATTAAAAAAGTTATTTTAAAAACATGTCTTGTCATACACAGTGCATTATAAAATCAAAATTTGCTATTAACTTCAGTGGAAGAAGCAGTAGCAGGGGCTGCACCATTATTGACATTCTTTGAAACAAAAAACCACAGGTATAAAGAACTTTCGTAAAGTATCCATGCCACAATTTCACATTTCATAACACCCAAAGAAAAATAAGTAATAGCTTTTATTAAAATACTAAGTAAACGAGTTTTTCTTTTATGCGGTTCATCATAGTTCCTATTACGATTATCATGATTCTCATAAAGGATAAACAATATGGCTAATTAAAATTTATACTTAATAAGTCTAAAATCTTCTTGATTATTAAAGAAAACCAAATACTAGTTTTTATCGATGCAACTATAAACAGCTTCTACTTGTAACAACTCTCTGTCTTCCTTTCTTGTATCAAAAGGATATCGTGATATCAAAATTTCTACACAATTAATATAATATTTGTTCGCCTAACTTTATAGGAAATGATGCTTTTCTTTAACATACCAACTTTTTCTTTAAAATGCTATATTAGCTTGCGAATTAAGCGACATTTTGAAGTAATCATCGGCTATGTTATATGTTTAATAAAATTAATTAATTTAATAAAACACAAATTAAGCAGGGTGTATGGCAAAAGGGAAGTCCGAAATTTATTTTCCACATTTGAAACCTTTTTCTCCTTATTTATTACTTCAAATGCAAGTTATTAAAATGATACACAATCTAGTGTAATAAAACAGGGGATGTCAATTGATATATTTTGATATATACTAGTTGTTACAAACAAATTTTACCTCCTGATGATAGTTACACAATAAAACTTGACAAAAATTTTACTCAGGGTGTTTGTCAAAAGGGAAGTCCAAAATTTATTTTTCATAATTGAAACCGTTTTTCTCCTTATTTATTACTTCAAATGCAAGTTATTAAAATGATACACAATCTAGTGTAATAAAACTGGGGATGTCCATTGATATATTTTAATATATACTTGTTGTTACTAACTAATTTTACCTCCTGGTGATAGTTAAACAATAAAACTTGATAAAAATTTTACTCAGGGTGTATATCAAAAGGGAAGTCCAAAGTTTGTTGTAACTAAAATAATTATTTTAATTTTTTTTAAACCAATGAAAAAAAAAAATTAAAATAATAAAGTTTTATATAACAAAATAAAATAAGGTATTTCAATTCAAGTTTCTAATTAAGTTATTTAACTCAAAAGTTAGTTTAACCTCCATCAAAATATTGTAATTATTATTTTTTAACAATCGCAAAATTATGAAACCGATATAATATTTTCCGGTTTTTAATATTTTGGAATTTGAACCGTTTTCCGGTTTTTAATTTTTTTCCAACCATTGCATAATTTGTTTAGTTTTAGCTGTAGTATGGTTTTAATAGTTACACATAGTAAGATTTTTTTCAACAATAAAATGAAGTTAAAAAACTTTTATTTAATTTTTTTGGGTACGTCCAACGACGTAGCAGACATCCCCTAGGCACGCCCCTGCGCATAACTAACATTTTTGGATATCAAAAGTTTTAAACATTTTATTAATGACATTTACTTTAAAAATTATTAAACACATTTACTTTAAAAACATTTAAATAATTAAACACATTTATTTACTATGTCATATATATATATATATATTTTTTTTTTCAAAAGTAACTGTTTTGAAAGATAAAAGGTTATAGTTTATTCTTATTTCAAATCTTTTTAAAAAACTTTAAAAAAGTTAAGTTTGAAAGTCTATATTTCAGAAGTATTACTTGCAAAAATTGCTTTTACAACTTCAATTTTTTCAATATATTTGATGTGGGAAAAAAAAATGTTTTTTATTAAAGAATGTTGTAAAAAAAGTATTGTTATTAAAGAGTCGAAATCCTCGCAAAAGTGTACTTACTTTAAAATGTAAAATATTTGGTAGAACTCAATGTTATTTAATGTTTATATATTAGTTTTAGTATATATATTCTTTATATTGAAAAAGAACAAAAATATCAACTAAATTTTGATTAATCAATAATTTTAACTTTATTATATTTCCAGATGTCTTTATACTTTAACATTTGTAGGTTATTGAATTAATTGCTCACAATTATGTCATTTATAAGTGCTTATATATTGTACATAAACAAGGTTTTACTAAGAGAATAAATGGTAGTACTTTTTTTTTTTTTTATATCTAAGAAAACCTGATAATAAAAAAACGGCTATTTTTAATATAAATCAAATTAATATTGATTATGAATTCTTTTCTTTTAGAGCAAAACATTTAAAAGGTGGATTCTTAGCATGGTCGTCTCCTGATACCTGATCATCACCTGATCATGATGATGATTAAATTATATTTATTTCAGTATATGTAATTACTTTTTAAAGATATTCTTTATTTTTTAACTATATTTTTGGCATATATACATACATACATATATATATATATATAAATATATATATATATATATATATATATATATATATATATATATATATATATATATATATATATATATATATATATATATATATATATATATATATATATATATATGTATATATATATATATGTATATATATATATATATATATATATATATATATATATATATATATATATATATATATATATATATATATATATATATATATGTATATATATATATGTATATATATATATATATATATATATATATATATATATATATATATATATATATATATATATATATATATATATATATATATATATATATATATACATATGTTATATATATGTTATATATATGTTAAAAAGTAAAGTTAATTAGAGGTACTCTTTAATAATGTTTTTTAATGTTTAAAATGTATATAAGTTTTTATTTACTATGTTTATAGGCAAGAAAATATATAATATCTTATTTTTTGTTTACTTTTGTAGACATACGCCACCTTTTGTTTGCATTATAGATTTTTAGCATCCAAACAATCTAGTCTATAATGTCAGTTCAATAAAATATAGACAAGCCTCAAAGTAGAATTAAAGCCTTCAAAGTAATGCCAATGTGCTAGTTGTTTTAGTTTCAGTTGGGGCAAGGGGCAAGGGTTAGTACAACATTAATTTAAAAAAAAAATCGTTTAAACAATGCTTTTATAATCCCATCTTGAGCGATTTCGTTTCATTTTAGATCACAAAAAGCTATAAGGCTAGTAAAACACAAGAGCATATAGTTTCTCTACTATATAACTTGTCCAGGCTTGTGGAGCCAAGTCGGAGCCGGGGAGCTGCTGTTTTTTGGTGAAGCCGCAAAAATCAAGCGGCTCTCGTGTTTTTTTTAAAGGAATAGAATGTATATATATATATATTTTTTTCTAGACAAACTTTATTCATTTATTGTTTAACATTAAATTTCTTTCTTTTTTTTTTTGAATTTTTTTTCTAACAGTTACGGTCTTGCCAAAACGTTATAAAAATGATTATCTTAACGATTTTGTACTCAACTATCTTTTAATAGTATTTCTTAATATGCTTTATTAAAAAAAAAAAAGTAAATTACTTATGGAAACATTACAGTATTACATATATCGCTTTATATCATATTTTTATACTGATGCTATGCTGTTAAATATTTGATGCGCGATTTAATGATCAAAGGTTATTCATATCTTTAAAACTATATTAAAGATTAATTGAAACCCATAACTATACCAACTACCGTTGGTATAGTTATGCTTTGGCAAATGTGATCAAAAAATTTCCAAAACTTAAAATTTTTGTTCATAAAGTTCGGCAGCCGGGAGCCGAGCCGGATATTTCATAGGAGCCGGAGCCAGAACCGAGCCGTAAAAAAAACAGTCGGCTCCACAAGCCTTAACTTGTCTGCTTTTTTTTTTATAAAATAGATTTTTTTTCTTTTCTATATCCTACTGCGACCTTACTTTAAAACATTCAACTGTGGCAACTACCTAATTTAGTCTATAAAAAAGGAAATAACTTTCTTGCTGTAGATTATTGATCTGTTTGTGCAAAATTTTTCACTAACTCGTAAAGAACAGAATCATAAAGCGCGATAACGATAATAATCTGCTCTAGTATCGCACCAGTCTCTAAATGTAATTTTTCTTAATTTTGATAAAGCATTTGATTTTAAACCTGAAAACAAACTTATTCTAAAATAAAATTGTTCAGAATAAATGGCTTTACCAGCTCTGATTGGGTTTTTAGTGTTACTCATTGTTCTGCCCTCGGCCCGCTCTTCTTCATTCTCCACTCAAGTGGTCTTGCCTAACTTCCTGAAACTTCTGAAATATTTTTAGGATGATGCTAACCTCTTTTCGAAAAACTTAATCCGATAATAAATTCGTTTATCTACAAGATCGTTTACGTTTGGTATACGAGTGCTCAAATAATTTGTCACTCAAGTTAAAATTTAAGTAAGGAACTGCGGTAAAAATTTAAATAACGCAATTCAATAAGTATGATTAGTCTGACCATTCTGGTCAAACCAATTCTATTTACAGTAAACTTTTACAAGATAATTATAGTTTAAGTCAAAGTCTAAGAAGCTCTTCTAAAGAGAATTTAGGAAACATTTTACATCTAGTTTCAAGCGGAACATACGTTTTCTATCTATTGTTTCTTAATCCATATAAATCCTCGGTAAGCTAAAAAAGACTTACATCGATAAAAATGCATCTTAAACTGTATGAAGTGTTGACAAAACTACAACTTACATATATACAGGCTCTATATATATAAGCTTCAAGCATGAGACATCTTCGATACTGCAAAGGACAAAAAAACTGAACCATCACATGAATTTTGGCGCCTACGTTGCGATCTAATCCGAATCTCTTTTATTAACTATAATAAAACCTTGTATTACATCGTTTTGATTTTTTCAAAAACATATTAACTCTTTTTCACGTGGTAATCGTTTAAAAGTATGGTGTGAGTATATTCCAAACTGCCTTCTTTACCACAATTAATTATAAACCTGCGAATAAAACACCGACTATAACATTTTTAATTACTCATAAGGTTTTAAGTTTATTGAGCTAAGTTTAATGAGGATTTTTTGCATAGGAAACATCGTTATATTACAGAATATGGCGAATAATCTTATCAGGGCATTAGGGAAAATAAATAATATAAAAAAGAGTTTAAAAACTTTAAAGACTTTTCTAAAAAGTCACAAACCTTTAACGTCATGGCTATAAAGCATTAACTTACTTAAATTGGGAAAATTAACAACAAATGTTTTTTTTATCGAAAAGCTACTTATAACGGATGATACATAAGTTATTAAAAAAAAAATACCTTATAGCTTATGTACGAATAAAAAAATATTTTTTCTAAAAATAGGATTTATTTTTCAATAAAAATCTGTTATTTCTGACATAATAAAACTCTATCATCTGCAATAAATCTCAATTCCGCTTTGAGACATTTTCTTCGCAACAATAAAAGTTTGAAGTTAAACAACAATATTTAAAACTTGTAAAATAAATACACAAGTAAATGCACTAGTTTTTTAAATGTTAGTTTCAACATCAAAGTAGATTCCAGCTATATTGCTTGGAAATAAAGAATAATTATTTAATTTACTAAGCCTTAAAATGCATGGAAAGATTATCTTTTACTCTATACTTGGATATCTACGGCCATAAATGAAGCACATCCAGTTATTACCGCATAAACTGCCCTTGTTTTATTTTCAAGCATTTTAGTTTTAGAAACATGCGTCCGAATTGGCATACTCAAATATCTATTTATTTCATCCTGTATTTCTTGACACATATGGTTAACAACCTTTTCTCTAATTTGCTTACGCTCATCTTCATTTCCATTATGATAAAATAAACTGCTCTAAAAAAGCAGTTTCCATTCCCTAAGGACAAATAGGTTGATGTTTCCTACGGCAACATTGTTTTCCTAGCAATTCTAAACTTTTCTGTAATTAACTTTCTCATACCAAAAATTACACATTTTGCTATTTTGATTTTTTTTTGTTTAAATCATTTACACTGTTTTCATGTTGAGTATTATTGTATGTGGATCTTTAGAGATTTCTCTTTGTAAAAAGACTAACTTGTGAGGATATACTTTTTTTTTCAATATTACGTTTCATTTTTCATTCTTTAAACTCCAGTTTAAAAAATGAAAAAACGTAAAAAAATTTGCACTTGAAATATTATCAACCGTATATAGGTTGATAATACTTCATGGTTTCACCAGCTTTCCACCATTTCTGTCATCACGTTTATGATTTTGCAATAAAACTTTTGTTCCAATAGCAATAGTTGTTGCCTCATTTGCAACTTTTGGATGTTTTTGTAACCTTCAACAAAAATACACTTCTTCGTTTCATTCATTATATGAAATGTTTCCAAAATTGCATTTTTGTTATTTGAATCATTTTCATTCAAAGTAACATTATCATTATAGCAAATCATATTCTGATCTACATCAATCGGCAGAACAGGTTCTCTTTGATAAAGTAATGCAAAGGGTGTAAATCCAGTTGATTTGTGTTTTCTAATTCGCATTGAAAACAAAACACTGTCATTGGAAAAACGGCCATTCAATGTTCGTTTTATTGATTTATTTTGATGTTCTACAAAACCATTTGCTTGTAGATAGTATGCACTCGTCATTTGTTGACGAGTCCCATTTTTCTCGTGAGGTTTATTAGACAGGTCTTTCACAATTTCACGGTCTTAATCGTTAATCTGTGTATCAAAACATTTGTGCCTACATATTTTTTTAAACAGGAATAATGCAACAGATTTTGATATTTTTTCAAAAAGAGGTTCAACTTCTACACATTTGCTGAAATAATCGACTAGTGTAATTAGATATTAAATAACTATTCACTTTTTGGAGATGAGTCAAATTAATTCTAACCTGTTTCATGTTACCTTTTGAAATTGATTGAATTGTAGTATTGGTTTGAGTTAAAGTTTCTTGTTTTTTTTTTTTTGTTTTTTTTACAGATATCAGACAAACTGTTATATCCAAACATTAAGTATAAGTTTAATAAACCTGCATAAAGAATCCAGGCTACAAAGTTTTTATCTGCCAATTTTGTCGGCAAACTGTTATGCCAAACCCTCCTTGCTGTTGAATTGTTTTAGGATTAGCCCCATTATTGTAACGGGTCGATGCTATGCTCGTTAAGGAACTCCAACAAACTATCAGTCCTATCATGCACTTTGTGAACCCTAGTTTTGTAAGAACTTTAAATTTTTTTTTAACTGAAAGTGTTTTGTCTGTATATGGAAATAACTAAGATGGAAAATATTCCCCTCTTCTGGTGTAGAATCTTGTAATATTAAGTAATATCTTGATTCTTTAATAGGTAACGTTATTTCAAACAGCTCGTACTTCCTCATTAGTTCAATGAATTCTAAGCAGATAGCTGAAAAAAGATTGTTGACACTTTATATATATACAAAGCGTGATAACAGTGTAAACTAGGTTTCCGAAAGAAGATCCCTAAAATCTTATCATCGGAACCTTAAACAATAATAAACAAGTTAATTTACAAATACCTTGTAAAGTATATGTTACAATAAAGTAGTATAGTGTTGTTAGTGCTTAAGGCACATCTAGTGGATGTGCCTAATATTCCCTTCCCCAGACAATATTAGTGTAGTTTATATAGCAGTGAATAAATGATAATAAAGTTGTCTTAAGTTTTTCTTATTGAGATAAGTTTGAGCTTTGTATTAAACTCCAACGTTTATAGAGACTTTAGTGCATACATTATTAATATAATGATTCGAAGTAATATTCTCATCGAGATAAACACCTAGGAGTCTCTTTTTATTTCAATTTCATCAATAAAGATTTGAGGCAAGTTTAAGGGTAAAAACCTTTATTCCTAAGCAATTGAAAGCGAGTCCATTTAGTTTTTTTAGTACTTAATGTTAATTTATTGGATTTGAACCAGTTGGATAAAAGTTTAAGTCCTTTAATTACGGTGGCAAAATGTTCGTTAATATCACTTTAGAGATGAATAAATTAGTACTATCAGCGAACATGATGCTCATCAGATTAGTTGCTTTATTTAGATCGTTTATGTAAATTAAAAAAAGGAGGGGTCTGAAGATTGAACCTTATTATTGAAGGCCTTCAATAGGTTGATAAAGATGCCCAAACTATATTTTAATTGTTCAAAAGATTTTAAAATTTTATTTAAAAATTGGATGATTGCATGCTCTGTTGAGCTATCCTTTTTAAAGCCAAATTGATTAACATAGAGTAGATTTTTTTTGTCAAGGTGTTTATATATTCTGTTGCACATAATACTTCCTAAGATTTTTGAAAATACAGAGACCTCAGAGATGGGGCGATAATTAGTTATTTGGGATTGGTCACCCTCTTGCCTAGATAGCCAGGGCCTCTTAGAGCTGTCACGCCGCCTGGGACAGCAACCCTGATTGGCGCCCTTACTTATCAAAATTGTGTCGGTCTTTACTGAAAAATATTTCTTTAAAGTTCTACAGTATTTCAGTTTAATATTTTACCTCAAATCAGCAACTTTTTTATTACAGCTGGAGACCATATTCCAATGTTGTTGCCTAAATGACCAGTATTTTTCTCATACAAAAACTTTCCAGCTTTTGGTAATTTGTTGAAAACTTGTTCTTGAAAAGTTCCAGGTTTATTATCTTTATTTTAATTTTCAGCAACCACAGCATTTAGTCCTTCCACGGATTCGGAAACGTGAACTGGCTACACTAGCTAGTGACAATAGCTAATATGAGTAGTCTTACTCTCAGATTCATCATTGTTTAATAGCCATAAATGTGTCCTGACCATGCAGACACTTTTAAGAAATAACAGCTGTAACTAAAAATTCTTAAACACCCTCTAATACTTGTATAAAATCAGTGATTCGTCTTGTTTTTGAAATCAAATACATATTCTTTTCTGGCTGTAGTTTCAGACTTTTCCATTTTTGTGCCACAAGAATATACGCTCATTACTTTTTTTTTCTTTCTTTTTTTTTCTCTGTTTTAACATTACAACTTTACAACTTTATAGTATAAAAAGTTTATAACTTTATAGTATAGAAATAAAATAAAAATTAAAAATATATGTATATATATATATATATATATATATATATATATATATATATATATATATATATATATATATATATATATATATATATATATATATATATATATATATATATATATATATATATAGAAAATATATAAAAATGTAAAAATAGTTGTTCGTAAAAGGCAACACGCTTTGGATATGCCCCAAAAATTGCATATATTAAATAACAATAGTGAAAGAACCCTACACAACTAATGATATTTCATCCGTATTCTTAACTATTAGCTCAAAAAAATTTTCTATTTTAATGCCAACAATTTATAACTGATGCAGCATCAAAGCCAATTTTGGAAAATTTGGAAAACTTTGTATATTCCAAGTTGCACCTTAAAAAAAAATTTCAATATATGTCACCTAGACATTTGAAGAAAAAATCAATGACGCATTTATATACTTGTATAAAATCTTCATTTAACTCCTAATTTTCATTTCAAGTTCTTAAATTAATCAACATCTTTTCCTTTTTTTTATTATCCAAGGATTCACTTGTAAGTAACGAATAGAAATGATTTTCCTTTATGAATTCAAAAATTCACCTTCGTGCTTCTGGGGTGAGTATTTCTTCTTGTACTAGCAAGATGTCATGAAAAAAACCATAATGTTTTTAGTTATACAATGAAATGAAAAAATGTTTTCAATAATTTGAGATAAGGTCGCAAGTCTTTTTGTTGATATGCTTGCTTCTACATGTACGTTTGATTAATTTGACCATTAACTGTTGTAGACTTTAAATTTTCCTTCTCAACCTTCTCAATCTGCATCACTTGCAGCCTTATAAAACATGGAGTCCTGGTGATCTTATAGTGTTGCAGTAAATTTGCTTGATTTTCTAAATTCTTTCCTAACTTCCTTCTTAAACACTCCACCAAAAAATAAGCCATGTTTTGTATATTTTTTAGTAATCAATCATAAACAAACGAATAAACTTATTGAACCAAACTTTTTTTTTTAATCAAATAATTATAACTTTCAAATCTCTTGTTAAAATTTTCCAGAGTAACTTATTTTTATTTGACTAATGAAAGATTCCAATAAACCTTGAACAAACAAAAAATACTTCAAATAATTAAAATCGTTATTTTAGAAAAGAAATATGTCCAGATTTTCAACTTTTACCAAAAGAACAAAAAAACAATTTGTTAAAAATCCTGTTAAGTTTGCCACTTTATTTATATGTTATAATTTCAATCCATAAACCTATTATGCAATTAAATGTTGCAAAGTTGCAACAATTAATTAGTAGTCTTTTTCAATAAGAATAACATTGTTTTATAAATGACTAAATACCGCCAAAAATAAAAATATTCCTTTTTCAAAGTAACAAAAGTCAAATGTAAACGTTGAAAACAATTGTTAATGTTATTACTAATATTTCCTATAGCTTGCAAGCTAAAGCAAAATCTATAGTTTCTTGTCATATCACAATAAACAGTTGCTTTTAAAAATGTTAAACAAAATCAAAGTACTACTTATATAACTTATAAAAAACGACTTAAAACTATAAATATTAATATTAATATAAAACTATATATAATAAAACTATTATCAATCAAAGTTAAATTATTACAGGTTAAGTAGTAAAATTGTAATAATAGGATTAAATACTAAAAAATAAAAACATCCTCTGTTGATGACCAAAATTATTCTGTTTGTAATGTATATTTTTGAAAGTTAGTTTAACATGTATCCATAGTAACATATATGTTTAGTCATAAAAGCAATATTAAGCTTACCAATTCATTTTTACATGTCAACAAAAAATTATTTTCTAACGGCGGCGTCAGAACTACTTCTCTTTTTCGTCAATCTAGAATATTATCAATTAAAGAGTTTTCCAAAACTTCAAATGTTAGTAGAAAATAGATCCTTGTTAATAAATGTATTTTCAAAATTTTAACAAACATTATTGCGCTAAATTAAAAAAGTACTAGATAAGACTTATCATTAAATTTTACTTCGTGATTTACTATCCTCCTAAAAAATTTTTTTTATCAATATATGTTAAACAAACAAACGAAATTGCTTACGATATAAACAGTGCGTCATTTTATTCAAAACAAAACTTTAAAAATGAATAGTTTATACCAGAAAATGTTTTACATTTAAGTGAAAAAAAAAACGAACTAATATAAAGTTAACTTTGTTGATAAGAAAATCGAAAAAAGAGATTTGTCGTTTACCTAATTAAACAACAACCAAATGTTCACAAAAAATATATGGATAGTTGCACTATTAGTAGTTGCTTGTTCGTTCAAACTAAATAAAGGTATTTGTCTTTCTTAAAACATAAAATTATGCATTATTTATTCGTGTTTAAATATTATTCACATATTACTTGTTATACATTTTGCAGACTTTTAGTTATACTTTAAAACCTTAATAACAGTTTTTGTCATAATAATTCAGCCCAACAATGTTTTACCAATGTTACCTAATGTTTTGTCAAACTATTGCACGAAATGCCGAAAGTTAAAATGACAGAACTTTGTACAAGTTGTATAAGTATTGCTAAGAAATATTTACCTTTTATTAATTTTTGAATGGATGGAGATGGGGATAGGTGTTATAATGATATGATATTAAAAATTATTTTAAAACAGTTAACAAAGGGTATTATAACTATGGCTGAAACTTTTTTTTTTTCTTTTAGTAAAAAAAACTATTGAGGAATAAACATTGGGTATTAAAAACTAGCAATATATACCCAACTAAATTTAGTGGTATTTTTATAATGCAATATAAAAATGCCTCTGTTAACTCAAATTAAACGAGTTTTTCTTTATTTCATCCTTCCTTTAAAAAAAATCAAACTTTTTTTCCAAAAATGTTTATTCGAAATAGAAAATTAAATAGGGCTACTGTTACAAAACTTTGGGTGTTTTTTATTGACAAAAATCTAAATTGCAATTAACATATCGCTTATTTAGGTAAAAAAATATCTAAAAGCATAGGAATAATATACCAGTCACGTTACTTATAAAAAAAAAACTCAAACAAATCTACTGAAGCTTTCTTCAAATTTACCTAAACTAAGGTAGTACCTGTAAAACGAAACTAGAACCACTCTATTGTAAACAGAAGCATGCTATACGTGCGATTGTTTAAAAAAAAAAAAAGAACGATCAAAGCTTATTTTTGAACAAATGTCTTTATTAACATTATAGCAAAATGCAAAAAAGTCCTTTAATTTTCTATAGTCAAACTTCTATAGTCAAACTTCAATAGTTTCTATAAACAAAAACCAGAGTACAAATATTTATTGTGAACAAATAGTACCCTGTTAGAGCCTTTATGCAAAAATAAGCTTGAGCAATTCAAAATGACTTATCGTGCACCTCATATCTGGAATGAGTTTTTAGTAATTAATTTAAATAATATTTAAAAAATTTGAATTGTTTAAAAAATTTGAATCGTTTAAAAAAAATTTTAGTAATTAATTTAAATAATGTTTAAAAAATTTGAATTGTTTAAAAAAAACTATTAAAAAGAGTATTTTAAACTATAAAAATTTAGTTATCGATTTTTTCTAAATTTATTCTCTTCAAGCTTCTTTAATAATTGCTAATTTTTATTATATATAAATATATTTTCAACATTCCATTAGTAATAAATGTATAAATAATAATGGAAAAAAAAGTGTAAATAATAATGGAAAAAATAACGTGTAAAAGTAATGTGTAAAAATAAATATATAAATAATAATCGGAAAAAAAAAAGAAAAAAAAACGGTGTTTATAAAAATATATTTGTATAACCTACTTGTTATCTGACCATTTAATACCATTTTATTGTAGTGATTTTATGTAAAAAATTTATGAATATTTTTTTATATATTCGGCAATGTAAAGCGGTTCTTGTTGATAAGATCATTTGGTCTTCTGCAAGTTTTCCGCGTTCTTTTTACAGTGTTTGAGTGAATTTATTATTTCTTTACAACCACTAAGCAATATTTTGTTTTTATTTATATATTCACTGTTAACGAATTTATATTATGTAATTGCGAATTTGTAATATTAAGGAACAAAAAATAATAATAAAATAAAATACTGCATAAATTTACTTGTAGAAGAAATTTATCTTTTCGTTTTTTAATATTTTTTGTTATAGCATCAAAAGTTGAATAAAAAGAGAAATAAAGTCATATTGTTATTAATTGAATATTTATGTTATTAAACTCAGTAGAATTTTTTTTTGAAGCCTTAAAACAAATTATTAGAAATTGATCATTTCTAATAATAATACAATTTAAATGATACATTTAAAACATTAATTTAAGTCTAGTTTCTTTTCATTTTATATCTAAGAGTTTACTATTTAACGTCAACAAAAATTATAGTTTTTATTGCAAGTACAAGAATTAAAAAAGATTAAGTAAAGTAACTTTTGTAAAAATTAAACATTTGTATTTAAATTTTGAAAAAACTTAAAGATTCTGAAAAAACTTAAAGATTCTGAAAAAGAATCTGTTTTAACCTCGTATTCTAATCACTCTGATATTTGATCAATAAAAAAAGCATTACATCTTTACTCAATACAGAAAATAATATAAAATTGACACAGCATATATTTTGAATTTAATTGTGAAATTGTAGAAAAAACACGAAATAATACAATATTCTTGTGAGGTAATAAAAAGGATGTGAATTTATACAACAAAAAAACATCTAATAAAGTCTCATGTTTATAACTTTATTTTCTAAATGTTAGCAAAAAATAGATAAAAAAATTATAAAAAATATAGTTGTTTTTAGCAGCGTAGGTTAAATAGTTGTTTTTATTAGCGCAGGTTATAACAGGATTATAATAATTGTAAAATTGCTTATTTAAACTACATGTTTTTTTTTTTATAAGCATAACGTTTATAAGCATATGGAGGCTCAGATTTGGAAAAAAAATGATATTGATATTATTGCAATACACAACTGCAAAGTACAGAGTGGCACGTTGATGTTTATCAATGTGCCACTCTGTACTTTGCAGTTGTGTTGCAAGTACAGTAAAAAGTCCGGCCATACGAGCAACAAAGATAAAAAAGACAGCTGGAAAACTTCAGATAATGAATATTGAATTTGAAAATTCTATTTTGACATATATTAAGAGCCAGCAAATTAACTTATAACTGTGAAAAGTTTATTGAATGCTATTTCATAAAATAGGTTAATTAATAAATTATTTATTTAATATTTCTATGCTCTTTGTTAACAACATTTGGTGACGAACTATTGCGGAAAGTCGGGTAGCCCCGGATAGCGGATAACTCCAAATACTTGATGTTTAGCTTAAACTAAAAAAGCTATGTGATTTTAAATACTTTAAAAACATTATTTGAGTGAAAATATGATATATGCAAAATATCTATCATAATGTATCGAAGCGATTAGCTGGGAGTGCAAGATATTTTTACTACCACCAGAAGAGCAATGTATCATCATATTTGATTCACATAATAATATATCTGTTTTTTTTGTAAATTAATTTTTTTTTTGAAGACTTTTTTGATTATAATATCTATTTAAAAAAGTTCGTTTAATAATTTAATTTACTGGTATTTGTGAATGAGGTATGATCAGGTGCTATCGGAAACATGTATTAAACGGGTGGTTCCGGACAACTAAATTCATTTACATACTAAAAATTAGCAACTTTTTTATATAAATAGTAATACATTTAATATAATGCACAAACCCACAATAATAATTATTATTTTATTTCAATAAAAAGACCTAAGGTTTAAAAAAAAGTGTTTTTAAAGTGTTTATTTTTATTAGTAAAATGCTAATGTTTATACTTCCAAATAAAGACGTTTTCATTCCCATTCCTTTCATATGAGTAGCAGTTTTTAAAGACGATTTGTTTTTATACATTTGTTTATAGTATTCCAATGGTAACTAATTATATATTATATTTTTGTATCACGGGTATAAAAGAGGTAAAATCATGGTTAAACTTTGTGTCCGGAACTACTCTCAAATTATAAAACATGCCTTTTTTCATACATATGTCTTTTATGTTTCGTATACTACTGCATCCACAACTTTTTTTTTTGTTTCTAATTCTATAGATAAATGTTTGTACTTTTAAAAAAGTCTTTTGACACTTTGTTTTTTGTTAGTACATATGTACAATCCATTTATTCCTTAAGTGTCGCGGCTACCCAACTTTCTCTTAGTTATACTTATTGGTAACTTTAAACTTGAAAAAAACTTATTGGATTTCTAAATATATTAAAAAACGTCTAATCTCTTTTGCACATCTTTCCATTTATCAGAACTTTATTAATTAAATGTTAAGGGAGTGCATGAATATTGGCATCATTCGGAATGTTAAATAAAATTAAAAAAAAAATTGTTTTAAGAAAAGGATGTGTAAAAAAGGTTGCACATCATTTATTATTATTTATCCAGCAGTGATTTGCTCCCATGTTAGTCTATATCCGTTATAACAACTTTTTACGACGTGAGTTCAGATTCTTATTAACCTTGATTGTTTACATTTTTATTCTTTTTTTTTATAGCTCAGTGATGTCTTATACATACATATGAAACAAATATAATTCACTAAGCATCATAAAAAAAAACAGCCTACAGTAATTCTCAAATAAATAAGGCAGGCATTCCTTAAAAAATTTTAATTTATTGTTGATTTCTGACGTTATTATTTTGGATAAAAATATTTTTTTTGTTTTATTTTGATTTTTTAAGATATTTTGATTTCTTTTACACCGTCAGGTTACCATAGGAGTGATATTATTGGTAAAAAGTTTGATATTAATAACTTTGTTAAATGTAAAATAAGTAATATAATAACTATTTTCAGTGTCATTCTCAAAATAGTCAAAACAATTAAAAATATTAAGATGCGCCGTGCAAAATGCTTTGCGTGTGCATGACTCAACAAATACATCACGATATCAGACAGATTTTTAAAGTATATTGTTAATAGTGAACCCTAAACAACATGTGCAAGACTATTCACCATGTTATGAAAAGGGTTATTAATATTAGCTTGAGAACAAAAAGAAGGTTGTAAAAAGGCTGTGTTATGACTTTGGTTTAGTTGCAAGAAGACCAGCTAAGAAACTTTGGTTAACACTAGCACAATTATAAGCTAGGATTAAAATTTGCAAGAGTTTAAACTTTTGCAAAATTTAATCGTACAATGTTAAACGTACTTTTGTTACAAACAAAAGTACATATCAACAAATTATAGACGCGGGCTACAGTTATGTTAAAAGACCCGTGGGAGAGCGCCTGATTTCAAAATACA